TACTACATATTACTATATATATACACACACACACACACACACACGACACACACACACACACATATATATATATATATATATATATATGTGTGTGTGTGTGTATAATATACTTATGTCTATAACTGAGAACACAACATACCATCGGATGCCGACCTTCCTTGACCGTCATGTATATCTCGCCTCCACGCTCAGTATCACTCTTTAATGATTTACTTGTATTGCCGTTGTCACTATTGATATCAGCATCCCCTTCTGTTATATTTGGGGGTTTCTGCAGTACGTTTGGTCGACAGAAGGTGTCTTGCAACGAAACATCCGCTAAGGACAGCAAACAGTCGAGGGTGGCTACTCGGTCAGTAAGATTGGCTAGGCTGTCGTACACCTCCCCGAAGTCTCTGGAGAGGAATTTTAATGTGAGTTGATACGGGATGAGATGGCGATGGCATATCCAATATATTTGAAAACAATCGCTGTTCCCTGGAGGGTCGAGTAGTAGAATGAGACGTGTTGGGATATGCTGTAAAGTCCCATATTGGCATACAGGCAATGTCTTCTGAAGAGATGCATGAGAATCTGATAAGAAGTGGGATCGGATAGTACGTCAATATAAAGCCCAGGCTTGCTGGCGATTGAGCGTTGCTATGGAGCGCAGTGGCAGAGAATCGGGTACATTACCCAGTGTGGCCGCCCTTTGATCTTGCATGCACATAGGTGCGCTTGATGCACGTGGTAGCAACGCGTGTTTCGGTAGAGACGCACTCCGAAGGTGAATAGAAATCAGAAGAGTGGTACATGGCTGGTAAAGCAACCATTCACTCCAGCGAAATTGAAGTTTTCTCGTACGAAACTAGAATAATTCAGTTGAAAGAGGGAGAGACTCACCAATATCACTCAGCTCTACACGAAGACAAATCGAGCAGCGTCAGCACACAGAACCAATGTACACTTACATGGCAACGTGTCATTATATTCCACCACTCACCGACTGCAGCACAGACAATACTCATATTAGCGTACATGTACCTCCATTACGTATGCTAGCATAACCCGAAAAGTACCTCTTGTTTTGGCACTAGCATAATAACACAGACTACCACTAAGTCTACCACAATAATATAGCTGCTACAACAATACAGCTACTATTCGCTCTGCATATAACTCAGTTACTACCTATTGTACACT